GAAGAAGAAGAAGAAGAAGAAGAAGAAGAAGAAGAAGAAGAAGAAGAGTTGGGAGTCCCGCCACAATATAAATTTTAATTCATTTGTGATGAGAGTACCAACTCAACAGGTCTGTCGACGTTCATGAGGGAGGACTTTTGGCCGAAGGGTGTCATGTACCGACGTTTTCGGGGAAGGTTACCGGACACCCACGTTGCGTCGCGGTCCTTTATATTATTATGTATGTTATTCTATTAGGCATGTATTTATGGGTCTATGTAACCCGAATATAAAATAAATAAAATAAAAATAAATTACCCTTAACCTTAAATAAATTACTCTTAACCTCGCAAGGAGCGTCTACATTTGATGTACACGCACCCGCGCCCGCCGAAGCCTGCTACAATGGATCGATTGACCCAGACCACCCATACCTTTCACAGTGAAGCACTGTGTGTGTGTCTAGCGTCTGTTTGCAATATCGACGTGTGGGTATACCCGCCCGTAGCCGTTTCGACACTGAAAGGGAAGACGCCAAACGCATCCGCCGCCGCGCCTGAATCAGTCCTTAGAGAGAAAATGTGCAGCGCTCTCAGAACTAGCAACCATTATATTAGTTAATTATGAAATATAAGTACATTAAGCCTTATTCCCTAAAAAAAATTTGAATGTAATTTGTGGGGTGCACGAAAAGAGCCTCCCCGCACGACGTACAACTTCTTTCCTGTACCTGTGCTTCCTGTACTTATATCTCCCATAACCTCGGCAACAATCGGCGTTTAACTTATGCTGATGGGCAAATCCTTTTACCGCGATAAGAAGAAGAATGAAATATGTAACAATGTGCGAGACCATTACCAGGTTCCAATATAGGCGATTCCCTGTATCTACTATGAGAACCAGAGTCGTTACATTACTAAGGGGCAATACCTAAAACTTTAAAACCAAAACCAATTCAAAAAAGTTATTTTACTAAATTGGCCCTGCCGGTCCTTCTCTCTATCCACCGCCACGTTACCGACGATGTCAAACACAATACAAAAACCTAAAAGTTCTGGTATAAGTTATACAGGAACTTTTATACCGTTATACCGTATAACCCATGAAAGCATACATTTACAAATCATGATTGTTAATGATTATATGATAGAAAATAAAGAATTAAAAACAAAACACTTACACAAAATGTGACTGATTTCTGGCAAATGACAAAAAAAGAACAGTTTTATCGAAGGCACATTTATTGCATACATTATATAAACAGAAAGTAATTTACAAACTCACCTTGAGTTTTCCGCCTAACAGGACTACCAGGTAAGGCAATGCCAACTTTATTCAAATGCACATTAGGATTAACTTCCTCAATCAAATGCACAAGTACATTGAGCATTTTCAAAGTGACTTGTAGGAACTTCTCTGCTAAATTGGCAACTTTATCATTGTCTAGATGTTGCCATTTATCTTTAGTTTGGGTTTCATGTTCGAAGATGTCTAGATTTGATGTTTTGTGGCTCATTACCGCATGAACTTCAACTGAAAAAATTAATCGTCATTAATGTTGGTGTTTCAAAGGAAATACACCATTAGGTGACTTGAAAAAGCAACTATCCTCGTAAGACCCAGCAAAGTACAATGAGAAAAACGCTAAAATCGTGGGGTGGCCCCAACCCCAACTATAATAAACATGTCGACATGATCGAAAGAGTGCAAAATAAATTTGTTAAAAGATTGAAGTATAAATGAAATGAAATGAAATGAAATGAAATGAAATTTTAAACCTACAAAAATTATGTCTTTGCAAAAACGGAGAGAGCTTAGAGATCAAATTTTTCTTTTCAAATTTATTAACAATCACATTGATTCTACTTATTACTAACTTAAATTTCATTAAAATGTCCTAGACCCAACCTACGTCCGCGAGGCCCATTTGCAATACCTTATTGTCGCATTAATTATTTAAAAATAGGTTCCTTGTATGGGCTTGTACACAATTTAATACTGAATATCAAGAAATTAATATATTTGACAATAAGACATTCCGGTTCAAATCTGCCATTAGGAAGCTTTTATTTTATTAACATAATTAATTACTAATTATGCTAATAAAATAAAAGGGGAATAATCGTAGGAATTTTTCTTACTGTTCGTTCGATATAACAAACTAGTGATTTCCCATAACATAATTGAATATCGATGATTGAACATCATGATATCCAATAAATATAAATTATAATTAAAAGTGATTTATAATTTCTTGCATAGTGGTAATTATTATGTTAGTTGGTTATAGCTATGTACAAATTTGTCTATCCAACGTAACTATTTTAAACATTAGTGGAAACTGTTTTGACTAGTGTTTGTTATATTTGTTAAAAATTAAATGTATTATATGATGCCGTATGTTTTCCAGATAAAATAAAATAAAATGTACAAGCAAGCATGTCCTCAGTTTTGTATGAAAAACGTATCTTTCTGTACTCTAGTCAAATACCTGGATAAACCAAAGCGCAAATATCCGTCAATATAGTCCTAGTGGCAACAGTGCTGTTGCAATAGTCCAGGCTATCAAGACAATAACTTAGTATGCCCTGTTCCGAATACGCCTCGATGTGCTTCCACGGTGACCATTTGTTGCAAATAGATTGTAGTGTTTCCAGAAGACCTTGCTAAAAATAATTTTCATTTGAGTACTACTTCGTAGAAGTAGTCTATTTGAACGTAAATTGAGTAACCTACCAGTGTCGAGGCGTGAAAATTGTCGTTAGTAAAGGCCGAGAAAAGCAAAAAACCCAGGCCTTAACAAAAAGTGACGCCGGCGTGACACTTCAACGAACATTGATTAATTAGCACACGAGATACTAGTACGCATCATTTCACTGGTTAAGTTATTCTAGAAATTAAAAAAAAAATTAAAAAATTGTGAATTACTACTAAAACGTGGAAAATTTTAGGCAAGAAGGTGGGAAACGAGTTATATGGACGCCTCGCCACTGTAACCTACTTAACTTTACGTACGGTAATAGTAATGTCTAAGCGTTTTGAAGAAAATCAACTTTATCTCAGTGATATCTAAACATATTATTAAAAACAAAAACAAGAACAAAGTCCTCGTTATAACGGCCTCGAAGGGTCTGTGATTTTACAAGTTCATTACACAAAGATCAAAAAACCGCGGAAAAAGCTCTTCCTATGATGCGCGCATGCGAGCTCGTGCAAAGTGATCGGTAAAATCACAGACTGTGGGAAGCCACCTCAAGTGGTTTGTTGTGTTTTGCCAAATGATAAATTGTAAGAATAGCACAAAGGGAACAAATTGTTTCACATTCCCGTCCCATTCCCATTATAAAATTAATAACAAATTATATACTTACCGAAAGAAATTTGCAACTAGAACTCATAAGTCTACCCATCAAATCACCGACAATAATTCTCAAATTGCCACTGTTAATAACTTCCCGTTTCTTCAATAATTCTGGCAAATCGTAGTAGAAATACATCTCTCTAACTAAATCCAGAGAGAGACTCTTATGATCGAATGTGAATTGACAACTTTGTTCTTTGGCAATTTCTGCCACCATGGAGGTTGGAGTGTGTTTTTTAGATGGATAGATCTTCGGTATAATGCTGTAAGAGATATAAATGTGTGTAGATAGCACAATAGCACAAATACTAAAAAAAAAAAAACAAAAAAAAAAATTCCAATTTTTTTGTAAAAATGTGTGGAAATCCTTGAAATTCCCGTTACCAAAATAATTATAAAAGTCATAAAGCACTTCTTCGATTTATAATTCTATACTAAGCTTTTACACACATTGCTGTTAACCTTTTTTCTACATAATATGTATCATAAACCCTCTATGATGTGTTCAAAAACCGCAAATTACAATCAGCATAAATATATACTGTTTTGTTAGAACAAATTTCTTATCTGTGAAAATGTTATTATTGCTTCATAATAACATTGAATTCGATGTTATTATTACATTCAAATTTCGAACATCTCTAAAAAACAAAACAATTTGATTTGACCTCAATTCTAATATCAGTCGAGATGAAGTTTTATTCGAAATTAACATTTCATTCGACTTGACATTCAATAGCAAACAATTTTCACAAATTTCACACGTTACTTGATATCGAACGATATGATAGTTGAGGCCGACTCTAGTTTGTCTATGAATTAAATAAAAACTGCGGTTGTGTGACATGCGTGAGAAAAGTTTTTATTTGCCGCCGTTTCGCCAGTTGTAACATACGGTTCCTGAACACATCATAGAGAGCTTACAATATGTGTATAGATAAAGCAGTGTACGTAACTCTACATAATTAGGCATTAAAACACTCGTGAGATGTTTTTATGAAACTCCCCTGTCGGCTCGTTTCAATCCTCACCCGTGTGTAATACCTATCATTATGTAACAGTCACATAAACTACTATTGTATCTCGTCAAAAGTGTTAGTTTCTTGGTTACAACATTCTCTATAGAATCGAGAACTTATGCTAAATAAAAAAAAGTTACAGATAAAGATATTAATTCATTCAATTCTTACTTAGTCAAGGCCTGAGTTGCAGCGGCTCTCACTTTCTGATCTTGATCTCCTAACAATCTGAACAGGGTATCCATTATTAATTTGCTTTTTGTGTGGTATCCAGGGTACAGAATGAAAAGCCTGAAAGAAAATTAATTGGTTAATTGACAAATTGACAAAAATGTTAAAAATCAAAATTTAACATTGCTGTTTTGTTACAAAGTAAAGCTTCGATTAGTTGATTCATTATAAATAGAGCGTGGTCAATTGATTTGAATAAAATTATATATACGGAAAGTGTGATAGAAGTGTGATACGTACTCAACCCACTCACGCACTCAACCCATGAAGAAGACCATCGATTATGGTCGAAACTAGTCGGACCGCTTCCGACTAAAATACTACGCGAGTAAGTCCCGTCACTTTTATATTATAACGTAGCACATACTTGGTCAAAAGCTAGGTTTCCTATAGTCAGAGTAAATATCCATAGCATTTTGTATAACACAAAGATACTTACTTTTGGTAAGGCAATTTTTCATACAGACGACACAAATTGACTCTACACAGCCAATAGTTATTGCTCTCGACAGATAATAGAGCGTTCAATGACGTCACAAGTAGCGACCAATGCACACTTTCAGCTAGTGCGTTAGAGATGTTTGTCAGAGATGATAGAGCGTGGTTTACCGTTGAGTGAATTTCATCAGAGAGACCCTATAATGAAAACATGAAAACAAGTAAATAATTTTAAAGTCTTCAGTAAATGAAAACTTATAAAAAAACTATTACAAGAAATGAAACTTATTTCATAGCAATCTCGTATACTCGCTGTTTCAATCCAGTGTTTCGGCTTGTTTACAAGCACTGTCACGGCTCTCTGAGAACGTAAATTCATCAAACAGCTATGTCTAACATTAGTGCAAACCACCCTATTCTAAACTATAGTACAATCTTTACCATCTCAATCAGTGTAGCAATCGCGACAACTTAAGAAATCGAAAAAACTATTCATTTCAAAAGATGACTACCGAAAAAGAAACTCTAAATACTAGTAGCTTTAATCAATATTAAAATTAATGTTATTCTTTTCAAAATAAAATTAACTATACTACACAAAACCAACCAATGTCTTTCTACACAGAAATTGAAGTAGCTGTTTATTGTTTTATTATTTACATAATATATTTTCACATGAGACAAAACATAGAGACGTAGTCGGTGGCAATACAAAAATTCAGACATACCTTCAAAACGAAATCGACCAACTTTTCGGTACTAATATTCTGACTAACATCTTTGGGCAGCATATAGTAATTCCTCCATCTATGATAATCACCATGTGAGAGTTCCAAAGATGCGCTTACGTAATTCCCTATACATACTCTGACTAGTCCTCTAATTTGAGGATCACAATGGCTTTCTAATAGAACAAATATATCAGACATGTGTTGAAATTCAAAATCTTTATCATTCTCTGTGTCCATTTTTTCCAAATCTTCGCTTTTGACATTTTTTTCTACAAAACCGTCAGGAGCATCCTTACTATGAATTTCATCAGTTCTCTTCAAAGGCCGTTTAGCTCTTTCTTTCTGTTCTGTATCTTTTACGTTATCCAAATTAGTTGTCGATTCACCAAAGTGATCAAATTTCATATCCAAATCTATTGAGGACGATAGTACATCGCCACTACTGGACATTGGGTATCCAGGATCATTACTCGTCGTCATATTAGAATTGCTAGTGACGTTTGTAAAATTACTCATTGACATATTTGGGTTAGTACTGTCTGTCATAGCGCTTGCAACTAATTCCTTTGTTCTGCTGTCAAGAATAGCGCTTTGTACATCTTTAGAAGAACTTTTTTGTTCAACACTGTCTTGTGACTTCTCTAAAGATTTGCAATCTTTACTGTCTTTCTTGGAAGGGTGACTATGCTGACTTTCCATACTGCGGTTAAGAAGGTCTTGGCTCAAAGAATCAGTTAAAGAATCTTGGTAGCAAACGTTTCTTTCGAGAATGAAATCGTTTATTTGATCTTGGTTTGAGTCTGTACCTTCAGATGAACCTGAACAAACATCATACAATATTCATCATCAAAATAGTGTCACAAGTAGCGTAATTTAGATTAGATTTTGTTCGGACTTAGACGTTTCGGTTCATGCCTTTAAAAATACGTTTCTTCTTCTAATAAAGTTCAACGGAATAGTTTAAGTATATTCCTGTGTTTTAGTATTATAGTACGAACTGCTTTTCCTCACATTCACTCTGGAAATTTGTGCCGTTCATCTATCTATTATCACTCTCTCTCTCTCTCTCTGTACGTAACGAATTATAAATTTTTTAAGTGTTGATCTAATTGAGTTTTGTAAGGAAATACTTACCAGAAACATTATGTCCCTTGACGTCAGCATCCTTGTCTAAATACATTGTCATGGCTTGTGGGTAGAGAGTTAATATTTCTGATAGGCAATTTAATGTGGACGCCTTCACTGACACTCGAACCGATCTAAGTAAACAGATTTACTTTCATTAAACAATGCAAAAGGTTGTTCTGTTGTAACCGTATTTTTTATTAAATATTATGTATGTATACGTCGATGGCTTTCTGGAATAGCGGCCTATATATCAAAAACTAATTCATCACGAAGAGGATTTTTAAAAATCTTAGGTGTATTTGACGCGCAAAACCGACGAATCGTATACTGGCCAAATGTCGTCACGTGAAATACTTTGACCAATGAAACCAATCATCAACAAACAAACAATCAACAACCCTGAGGGTGCCTAGTAGAGGCGAAACACGTGTCGGGTATATATTTAGATGTGGTGTCTGCGACTGTAATTGCGTTTGTGTTATTTATTTTACTTACTTTATGCGGAGGGAGGAGGGAAAATTAATTGCAAGAAAAATATCTAACACAAGTGCAGCTATTTTGCACGATTCAACCTCCACTTACGGGATTGAATCGGGTTCGCGGAGTAGCAAATTAATTTACTTTTTTAAATATAATATTAGGAAATGAAACTATTTTTCCGGATTTAAATCGCGTATATTTGTTTTTTCAAACAAACCGACGTTTCGGGCCCTTTACAGGTCCCATGGTCACGGTTGACTTATAAATCACGGAATAATCACGGTTGAATATAATATTGCCATATTTTTTCTAATATACCGAAAAGCTAAAAAGTTCATGTACACACCTGTAACAATCGCCAAAATGTTATATATTTTGACTTATGACATTATCGACATGTGGTATATTTCTGAGATGGCGTAAATTTTTTTTTAAGTCGGTGCCTTAAAACAATTTCCATATAAAGTTTATTTTCGAATGACTTAATATTTTTTACAATACTTCACTAATAGACGTAAATTTAATAGAATATAAACTATATAGTTCAGTATTAAATGCTTTACCTGTCTGGTATAAGGTCTCCTTTATTTCCTGTCAAAAGGAATTTTGATGCCAACAATCTAGCGCAGAATTTCAAAGGAATATCGTCGTCAGTCGACGAGCCAATATTAATCTGAAAGAAAAAAATTAACATGTCACGATAATGTTATGTTGAGAAAAGCTTACAGTTACAGTTTAATTAAATATTAAACAAG